GTTTTAGCGTACGTGCGCCGCAAAGTTTCTGCTGCTCGCGCCGCCATCGGATATTTGGCCGCTCTTTGCACTTGAACGCATTCTCTCTAATAAATAAATAATTTCAATAATGAATTAAGCTTTTCTGCTCAGGTCTGGCCTAGAAATAACATAAATTAACTATTTTTATTTTTCATTTTTATTTTTGCTAATGATTGAACATTTTAAACTATTAAATGTGTAAATTCCAGTCTTCGTTCAGACTTCGAACGATTCACATCGCTCAGCCGATACCAGTCATTTACATAACAAGTGATAGTGTAAACAATAGTGTTTTCTACCTGTGTCAGTACCTGCGACAGTGCCCGCATTGCGTAGTTTATACAGCCAATCACGTGTCCCCATTGCGGGGGACATGGCGTTGTTTATAAACACAGTGACATTTATAATTATAATATTATTTTCATCGTGTCAAATAAATGTTATTCAACCAGTGAATTTTTCAAAGTTTTAAATCATGAATAATACTTCTGAAAATTTTATCACTGAATCACAACAAATTCTACAAGATGATTCTACAACTAACGCAGAATTTGTCGAAACGCATATTCTACCACAAATGAATCAACAGCGAACTTCTTCGCAAACGTCAGAAGATATCGAAATGCTTCCAAGTGACAATAATCTGCAATCGCACAAACCATATCCAGTAACTTTCAGGGACATGCGTTTCAACGCGCAATATCAAGAGTGGAAACTGGCCATGAGTAAAAAAAGACAGCAAAATGAACCTGCACAAACCGCTAATGTCACAAAAAAGGCAACCACAAAAAATTATTGGTTAGATCCGATACCAACCAAGAACTATTATAATGTATTACAATCAGTTGCTCCGGAAAACGACAAAATGGACGAACAGCCTTCAACTTCAGCGCCTCCAGTGGAAAAAGTTGTAACTCCGCCACCGATTTTTGTGCATGGGGTCAATGATATAAAACCTCTAATAGAACTGCTAGAAAATAATGTTCAGAAACTCTATTCATACAAGACCGTTGGTTTGAAGGAAGTTAAAATTATTACTAAGGATTCCCACACATACAATACTGTCCACAAATTATTGAAAGACAAAGGTACTCAACTTCACTCATACCAGGAAAAAACAAAAAGGGCATTTAAAATTGTAATCAAAAATCTTCACCACAGTACAGACATCGAAATCTTGTCAAAAGAAATCTCAGATCTTGGGCATAAGGTCATACGAATTTACAACCTAAGACAGCGTACTACTAAACTTCCGCTAAACATATTCGTTGTTGAACTGCAGCAAGACAAAAATAATAATAAAATATACGCAACTGAATTTTTATATAAAACAAAAGTTATAATCGAACCCATGCGCCATCCTCGAGAAGTTCCTCAATGCAGCAGGTGCCAATGTCTAGGACATACTAGAAACTATTGTACAAAAAATCCACGTTGCGTAAAATGTGCCGGTAATCATTTCACTTCAGATTGCTCATGGAAGGACCCAATTAACAGTAACGTAAGATGTGCATTGTGCGATTCAAACCATCCAGCTAATTATAAAGGGTGCCCAATATATCAAGCAGAAAAGCATCGGCGATTCCCACCACTAAGGACAAAAGAAATCTCACAACAACCTACTACAAGTAGCAGACCATCACTAATACGGCCAAATGTTTCCTTTTCTCAAATAGTTAACAACCAACAAAACGCAAATAATCACCAAAATCCTCAAGAACATGAATCATCTACAAACATCAATCAAACAAATGTAAGTTATCAAAATGACATACATGAATTAAAATCTATGATAAAGACCTTAGTAGACCAAATAGGCATCATGCTCAAACTTCTGACAACCGTTCTTCCCAATAACAAATAATGGACACAAATTTTAAAATTTGCACATGGAACGCCAATGGTTTAATACAGCACTTACAAGAAGTTAAACATTTCATTATACAACACAACATAGACATACTTCTCATTTCAGAGACACACTTCACAAGCAGAAGTTATATAAAGATACCTCAATATTCCATCTATAATACAAATCACCCTGACGATAAAGCTCACGGTGGGACAGCAATAATAATAAAATCAAATATAAATCACCACATCATGGAACCTTTTTGTGAACATTTTCTGCAGGCTACAAACATTTCCGTACAATTTCTTCATAAATTTATAACTATATCATCAATCTATTGCCCCCCCAGACATACAATCCTGAAAAGCCAATTTGAGTCATTTTTCAACGCGCTGGGCAACACATTTATTGTTGGAGGCGACTTCAATTCCAAGCACACGTACTGGGGATCAAGGCTCATAAACCCCAGAGGACGCGAACTTTACAGTACGGTTGCATCACTCAGTCTACTACCCATATCTACTGGTGAGCCAACCTACTGGCCATCTGATCTTCAAAGAATACCAGATTTGCTGGATTTCTACATCACCAGAGGTTTTCCAAGAAATTCGCTGAAATCTTCAACATGTCTGGACTTAAACTCCGACCACTCTCCCGTTTTCTTGAATATACTCAATCATAATCCCATCAACTATCTAAATAAATACTTGACTACTAAGTTTACATGCTGGAACAAATTTAGAGAGTATTTAGACAACAATCTAAATTGCAACATACCATTAAAATCTGAGAGTGACCTCAACGCTGCTGTTGACCTGCTAACAACATCTCTTCAACGATCTGCTCTAATTTCAACTCCCACGCCGAACAATAATTACAACATTGATTATCCAATACAAATAAAAGAAAAAGTGGCTATTAAAAGAAGACTTCGGAAACAATGGCAACTCACAAGATCACCGATGGACAAATCAAAATTAAACAAAGCTTGCAAAGAACTAAAAACCTGTTTTCGAGAACACAACAACAAGATCTTTGAAACCAAACTGAAAAATCTATCAGCTACTGCAGACACAAACTACTCACTCTGGAAAGTCACCAGAAATTTTAAACAACCAATTATTCCTGTTCCAGCTATTAAAGAAGGAAACAACACATGGGTCAAAAATGAACAGGATAAAGTCAACTCGTTTGCCAACTTTTTCGAACAAATTTTTCACCCTCTGCCGCAGCAATGCAGCACCCAAGAAGAAGAGTTTATTCACAATAATCTAAAAGATTCTCCAACATACGGCGACCATTCAGACACTCGTTTTACTCTTTCTGAAGTAGCACTTGAAATAACGAAGTCAAAATCAGGCAAAGCCCCTGGGCATGATCAAATCACGATACATATGCTGAAACAACTCCCACAAAAAGCCTTGAGATTTCTAACCATTCTGTTCAACTCCATTATCAGACTAAAAGTATTTCCGTGTGCCTGGAAAATTGCAAAAATAATTTTAATACCAAAACCTGGCAAAGATCCCACTCTGATGGAATCCTACAGGCCAATTAGCTTACTACCCATCTTGTCTAAAATTTTTGAAAAATTACTGCTTAAGAAGATCCATGCAATTTTGAGTGACAAGAACACAATTCCGCAATATCAATTCGGCTTTAGGAAACTCCACTCAACAATCGAACAAACTCACAGAGTAGTCCAGGAAATCAACTCATCTTTACAAGAAAAAAAATATTGCTCAGCCGCATTTCTAGATGTCTCACAGGCTTTTGATAAGGTGTGGCACACCGGTCTCCTCTACAAGATAAAAACAAACCTTCCAGCTAATTTATACCAACTACTTCAATCATACCTGGCAAACCGACAGTTTTTTATTAATATATCACATTGCAACTCTCCTCTGAAGCAAATAAACTCAGGCGTACCACAAGGAAGCGTTTTGGGTCCCACATTATTTTTATTATTTACCTCAGACATGCCTACCACAGCTGACACCAACATCGCCACTTTTGCAGATGATATCTGTATTCTATCGAAACACGAATGCCCTACAGCTGCGTCTGACGCCCTGCAACAGCATCTAAATTTAGTAGAAATGTGGCACAAATTTTGGCGACTTGAAATTAACAATCGAAAATCATCTCACATCACCTTCGCGTTAAGAAGGAAAACATGTCCGCCCGTCTCTATCAATGGGGCTCAACTACCTCAGGTTGAACATGTAAAATACCTGGGGTTTCACTTGGACAGAAGGCTTACGTGGAAAAATCACATAATGAAAAAACGTTTCCAGCTCGAAGAGAATTTTAAAAAACTTTACTGGCTGTTGGGCCCGAAGTCCAAACTATCCACCTACAACAAGCTTCTTGTATACAAAGTCGTCTTAAAACCAATCTGGACTTACGGCATTTCACTCTGGGGTAGTGCCAGTCGATCTAATATAAACATCCTACAGAGAGCTCAAAACAAGATCTTTAAAAAAATACTGGAGGCTCCCAGGTATGTACCTAATTGGCTCGTTCATCAGGACTGCAACATACAAACAATAGCGGAAGAAATTAGCAGATTTGCTGCGAAATATAAGTCAAGATTGGAGAACCATCCAAATGAACTAGCAAAGGACCTACTTTCTGCGAACACTGTCAAGAGACTAAGAAGATTAGATCCACTAGACTTAGCATAGTTATATATCTAGTATAGTGCTTGTAATTATTCTCACATATTTATATTTATTATCTGCTTGCAATTATTGTCATATATTCATATTTATTATACTAACTTAAAATACTACCAATGGGTAGTATTTTAAAAACTTATTTAATAACTAATCACAACAATTACTGAATGCCTTCTCAGGCAGTTGTAATTTAGATGGAAATAAAAAAAAAAAAAAAAATGTGTAAATTAATGCAAATATGAAATTGTTTGTAAGAATAGTTTTGACTATTGATTTGATTGATTGATTTGACTATTGACCTCAGTCCTTCTAAAAGTTTACCTTTATTTTCCTTTCTTAGAGCACTTGATCTACGAAAAGTCTCCAATCCTCTTTCTTTCACTTCAATCACTTCAGTTGCTCGCAATGGAGTTTCACAAATAAAATAATTTACGTTATTAGTAGTCATGGCTTCAAAAATGCAAGTAACACTAGCATACGGAGCGATAAAAATATACTGACGTCTAGAAAAAATACTTCTATTGATTCTGAACTGGGGTTTGTCGGTTTTCAAAAAGCGGTTTTTTAGTGAAAAAGTCTGTTTTCACTGTATAAATAGAAAATGACAAATATAGCCAAATATAAAAGATAGATGAAAGCATTTTGATTCTTAAAATGATATCATTTCTATAGCATTTGATATCTTATCAGTCCCAGAAATGGTATATATTAATTAAGATTTTTATACAAGTGTATATATAATTTAAATCAGTGTGACTTCTTTTCGAAGAAGTAACTTCCTCTACTCAAACTTAAAAAAAAAAGAGTTTTAAACCCTAGAAGCCACAAATTAAAGAACAAAAAACTTGGAATTATCATATCAGGCTTTAAAAACAATTAAGCATAATTTGGTCGCAAGTATGAGAGTAAACAAAGGACACGTCTATGTAGAAATTCGATAGATGTTCTCAGTTTTTTGAAATCGTATTTTATTAAACAAAAAAAAAAACAATTAGAATGTTTAAAATTAGTTAATTAAAATTACTCGGAACAGACAATACCCGAGTTTAGCTTAATTATTTTTAAAACTGAAATTGATATTAAAAAGTATGTATCAAAATGTATCTAATATTTTTTTATTTATTTATTCGAAAACCGTTAAAACCGTTTTTTTTAGTGAAATTAAAATTCGAAAACCGGTTTTCTGAAATGTCGGTTTTTGTATAAACCCTATTCTGAACATATTATACATATGTAGATGTAGAAATACAGATAATTGACGTTGTGTGTTGTTATTAGAAGATAATATAATCTTATATATAATACGCAGTAATCTATTCGTTGCAATCGAGTTATTAGAACGATTATCGCCAAAGATTATTCCTATATACAGTTCCAATTTGAGTTCATTCAATATTTCATAGTTTAATAATCCCAAATTTATATAAATATTGCCAAAAAAAAAGAAAAAAATGCATTAAATTGTATGATTTAAAATGTTCAATCATCAGCAAAAATAAAAATGAAAAATAAAAACAGTTAATTTATGTTATTTCTAGGCCAGATCTGAGCAGAAAAGCTTAATTCATTATTGAAATTATTTATTTATTAGAGAGAATGCGTTCAAGTGCAAAGAACTATTGATGTTACAGAAAAAAACGTTATTGAATAAATTATAGAAAATTTTGTCTAGTTTAATTTTGTATATAGTTATTTTAATGTAACATGAGTCAGAAAGGAGATATTGTTGAAAAACTGATTTTTGACGCAATTTTCCCAATATAGCGGCGGCAGCGGCAAAAATTCGAGGTGGCAAAGTTGAAATTCGGAAAGATCACATCAAAATCTATAAAATCACCAATTTTAAAAACTACCGGAAAACTGTTAAGGTAAAACTACTAAATGACTGAACTAAATAGCCGCTTAGTAAATTTTATTGAAATTTATACAGATTTTAGAATACATAATAAATTAGGGTCTGATCGAAGAATTTTTATTTTTTCAAAAATTTCAATTTTTTAAGACCAATGAACTCTTGATTTTTTACCCAAAAATCTAGAAATTTTATTTCTGATACTGCTGATTTTGTTAATTTTTGCAATAAAAAGAAAACCTTCGAGCAGGCCCAGGATTATCTATTTATAAAACTATTTTTTTATTTGATTGATTGTAGATGAATCTCTAAGAAGTTATGATGGTCACCGCCAGGACCGTTTTTTGAAACAGGGTTAACAAAAACAGCTATAACTTTGGAAATATTTTTTTTTTCTGAAATTTTTGTTACTTCAAGTCAAAACATTGTATAATGATGCCGTATTTATATTTTTGTAAGAAAACATCGTTTCATAGCAAAAAAACAATATTGAAAATTCTCATTTTCTCGTACCTCCAAGTACCCCTAACCCCCCCTTAAGACATATGGAACTTCCCGCACCGTAATTTAAACTTTTTGAAAGCTTTAAATCTTTTATTATGGTAATTTAGTTTTGAGCAAACTGGGCATTAGTTCATATTGATAAACTACCTATTGATTCACAAACTACATACTGATGAAATGAAGAATTGATTACATTTCGAATTCATTACTATGCAAATTTCCATTCAGTGGTGTAAAATAAATATGTATATGTCTAATGATCATTTTTGGCCGCTAAATGGCATTTGACCAATAGCAAAAGTATTCACAATCAGTATCGACAGCAGTGTATCTATAACACTAATACCTAGTTGCAAGTTGAGCCATTCTTGTGCCAATATTTGAAAATTAATCTTGATGCCATGATAAATAAATATTATAGAACAGTTAAGTGGTTTATAACTATTCTTATGTATCATATTATTTTTAGTTCACGAATACTATTACACATGGCGCAAGAATTTACTAAATGGCATATGTTGATAACAAATATAAGAAACTTTTAATTGGAGTGCGCTCTATCTAAATGCTAATATCCAGAGCTAAAACTATGAGAGATTTGTTTTTTTTATTAATTTGGAAGCATTGGAGCCCTTGGGAGCAAAGAAATTATAATATGTTCATGTTAAGGACTACCCTAATATATATATATATATATATATATATATATATATATATATATATATGTATATTTGCAGAGAAGTTCAAGAGAACAAGGCATATATGAATTATATTCTCTAAATTCCACAATACCAAATATATGGCGAAAATCATGCAGAAATCTAAATGAACATGTATCAAGATTGTATTGCACAAGCACTATTTATCTCATTGGTGGAATTAATGAGAAAGAATTCAATTACGTAAGTAATCAGAAAAAATAAATTTATTATAACTAAAACAATTAAGTCAAATAGTATAGACTTTTAATAATCGTGGACCAGAAAAACTGAAAAAAAACATAAAACAAAATAACTAAATTACAACTCAATACAACATATAGATAGATGTACGAATTAAGACTAATACTCTGTAACTACTAATACGATAGCAGCAATAATAATTTTCAATTTAAATGATATAAAATATAGATTGAAAATTGAATTGCAGGGTTCTAGTCAGATGTTAGACGCAAAAGTGACAAAAATGTGAAAACCATTTAAGCTGAATTCCACAGATTACGTTACATTAATTAAAAGAAAAATTAAAACCAACAAAAGAAAAATTAGAAAAATGCTGGAGTTATTTAAACTTTTAATTAAACTACAAAATGTGTAACATTAAAGTTAAAAATCGAAAAATATAAAAAATTAAATGAAATAGTGGTCTTGTGAGAATAAACCTTATACTTTTGATGAGTTTACTTAAAAGAGAATTTATGTCAGAAATAGGGTTTATACAAAAAAAAAAAAAAAAAGTAACAGTTCAGATGCAGATTTATTTTTTTGCATTAAGTCGCATATCAACAAAACCTTTGCACAGTTTAAATAGAACATGATAGATTAAATTCATCGAACTGGAGTAGAAAATTCAGGATAAATATATAAGATAATTAGATATTGGAAATACTGCTATATTTTATCACAAAATTTATGCAAAAAATTTATTAAAGCAACTAATACAACTATTTATTAAAGCAACTAATATAAATAAAATCAATTTGATAAAGCCTAATATATAAGTTATATACTATTTTATAAAAAAACATTAATCCCAAATTTTACTATTTTATACCAGGATTATATAGAGAATATCATAAACACATTTCCAGGAGGTGCATCTGCTAAACAATTCAATCACTTTGCTCAAGTAGTTAATGCAAGTAAGATTTGTATAATAATATACTTACTATGTAATTTTATTATATTATATTTTATCATATATAATTTTCAGAAAGATTTCGTAAATTCGATTATGGCGCAACAGAAAATCTTAATAAGTATGGAACTGTAACGCCCCCAGATTACTACTGGCAAAATATCACTGTGAAAAGTTATGTATATTACGGACAAAATGATATATTAACAGTGCCAGAGGTATAATATCTTAATATAATTTATTAATATTACAATTTTGTACATTTTTAATATGAGATAAATAATGCATATGTATTCATTAACCACGTGAGCGATCTTTTGAGGATTTTTGGACCCACCCTCCCTCTTGGTTGTACATGTTGATATTCAAAATTACTCCCTTCCCCCAACAAACATCACATGTATTTTTAGTTACGTGATGAAAGTGTAAAATTTTTTATTTTTTTTTGAAAATATTTGAATTAAAAAAAAAATCGGTTAAAAAATAAATACAAGTGATATATTACTATACCCTTCCCTCCTCCGCATCATATTTCGTTATTTTTTGTCAAACCACCCCCTCCCCCTAAAAACCTCACGTGATTAATGGACGCCCAACTGATTTTTTATATTATTTTCTTACATTACAACAGAAAATAAAGATGTTAATACAAATTACATGCAGACAAAATTATTTAAGGATTATTTTATACATATTTATATTGATGAAATGAATTAGTAAACTTTGTATTGAATCAAAATGACCTTATCAACCTTTATGATAGAAAAAATATTTATGTCAATGTATTTTTATTTGCAGGATGTTAAAGGAACGGCCGGCAATCTTATAAATTTGATAGAAATTTATAAAGTTCCTGACTCAAAATTTACACATACAGACTTTCTTTGGGCGAGAAATGCCGAAAGACTCATTTATACCAAAATAATTCAAGATCTGCAATCGAATCAGTAAAGCACCGATTGAAACAAATAAAAATTGTAATGTATTTCTTGTAAATATAAAATGATTCACAAATAAAATGACAAATATAAAAAGCTTATGGATTTTAATCAAATATTCAAAATTCAAAAATAATATGCTTTATGAAAAAGATATTCTTGACTATAGAATATTGACCATTACGTTTACTTTAAGCATTAAAATTAATAAATAAAAAATGCAGTATAACATAATATAATTTACACTGAGTATTAGCTGACTGATGATTTTTCAAATTCAGATTCTTAGTAATTGCATTAAATTCTATTATTATATTTCTTCTAGTTTCTTTTATATGTACTTACTATTTTTTTTCTACAAAAATGATTTCAAAATACTTTCAAAATCATTCGAAAGCTACAAATAGAGTATAGAATTGCACGGGAAAATATTTACATTGTTAAGAAAATTGAAACTAGTTCAAGGAGGCATTTAGCCATAAGGCAAGTTGCATGAACTTCCCGAAATGTGTAAGAATTAATTTAATCAATCGAAATTGAAATTTAAATATTTATATAAAATTTCAACCGTTTATTTTAAAAATAAAGTTATCGCTTTCAATTAAATCTAAACATTGCGATTTCAAATTAAATTAACTGTAATTATATTAATTATGTTGCACAGACGTGCTTGTATACCCTAAATTTGCAGCTTATTATTTTAAATTTTAATGAATTGATAATAGACTCGAAGAAAATTGACTCATCACATCACAAATGCAACTTTCGACATAAATTTTGACTATAGTATTTTTTTCAAATTTTGATGATTTTTCAAAATTAAACTACTTGCCATAGAAACGTAAAATGTTAGTATGTCGACCATGACCATGATATCTATCAACATAAAAAGTTTCATAAAAATTGGCAATTTTTTTTTGAACAGTTTATTACAAGGAAACGGCCTGGTAGATTTTTACCTAAAACTAATCAGTTCTCAACAAATATCTTTCGAACAGCTTTTGATTTTTTAATAGATTCAGGATTGTGAGCTGAAAAGTGGACGAAAAAATTTACAGTTTTCTGCCAATTACAAAAAAAAAAAACGGCTCGGCCGATCGTCGCACAAAACTGAAAAACGATGTTCCTCGACAATATAAATCAAATGGCTTTTAAATTTGAAATCCGTTCAGGCGTTTTGGAGAAAACGTCGAAACGCCAAAAAAACGCGACTAATTTTTTAAAACTTTGACAAATTTACAAAGTAAAACCCTTGTCGTCGGGTCGTAATATTTTAGTATGATCTAGAAGACCATGATGTCTATCGTCAAAAAAAAATCATACTAGTGGTGAATGGCATCGTGCCTTAAGGCAAATTGCTGGAACTTCCCGTGCCGTAACGTGAACGAAAAAATGCGGACATACAGGACACACACATACATGCATAAATACATCCATTTTTTCTGAGATATGCAATGCTAATGAAATACAAACCAAACTTGGTAAAAGAGGCATTATGTGTAAACAATCGACATAATAAATAATAAAGTAAGTTTAAGCTACTTTTAAAATTACAGTAATGTAATTCAATATCAATTATTTAAAAGTGTTTGCAATTTTATTTTTGTTCGCTACGATATAGGCAAAAGTCATGAATTTCTTTTCAAGGTCTTAGTCAAATCGTTCGCATATTCTATGTAAAGCTTGGAGAATCTATATTAACTTTCAAGAGCTTACGAGTGACTTATAGAGCCCTTCCGAAGTACTCTCGCATGTGATTTACATAAACATTCAGTGCATTATCAGAACCTATACATTTCGACAAATATAGTGTCGATAAGATTTCGAAGCCAAATATCATTCTATTCTTATTTCAGCTAGGTTATACTTATTGCACATTATGAAAAACACAAATTCGATGTTTAATACTTGAAACAAGCATTGAACATTATTCATTGTCGGCTCGAGCAGTCTTGTTTTATGACTTCATTACTGAAAATAAGTAAAAGTTTGCAAGTTTTTGTAGTATTTTTGTAGAAAAATTAATAACTAGTGGTGTTTGGCCTCGTGCCTTAAGGAAAATTGCTGGAAGTTCGCGCTGTGTAACGAAATATTACAAAACTTGCGAAGATACAAAACACACACACATCCATTTTTTTTTGAGGTATGCCAAAATGCTCAGAAACCTTCAAAACGTCGAGAAATGCAAAAATTTTCATTTTCGATTTTCGGCCCATCACTGTAACTACCCAACGGGAAGTTAATAATATTCCGAATGTTTTTTGAGAAAAACACTCAGAGACCAATTTGGAACAAATAAAACATATCGTTTGCTACGTAAACATTATATAAAATACAAAAGATGTTACTATCTAACTAATATTATACATAATACAATCTCAAATTAAGGATTCCTAGCTATGTTGTTTTCGTACTGTCCCATAATTGGTACTCAATTATTCATTGAAATCTTGAAATACATATTAACGAAAATGAATTTTTAGTGATCAATAAAAATCTACCTAGTTATTGAATAGTAGTATATTTAACAGAGCGTGAGAAATATAAATAGCGTTCATTTTTTAAACACTAAGGCTAATTATAAACTTGGTATAACGACAGAGTACTTGGTCTTAATAAACATATTAAACCAATAAAGTCCTACGGAAACTGGTTCAATTATAAAAATTGTTTATTTGTTAAAAATTGCTGTTAGAAAATACTCCGAGTTAACGAGTTCGTTCCTTTTCAATTATGTGTAATAAATTTACTTGGAATACTTTTAAGCACTCATAAACTAATTTAGTTTTTATTGATCAAGTCGATCATTTACACATATCGGGAAGCTCATGTAACTTGCCTCAAGGCAAAATACTAATAGTTTATAATAAATTCACAAAATAACGTTATTGCCAAAAAACGTTTATCCGTCATGTATTGCGCTTAAAATTTAAAAATAAATATAATCATATATCAACGAGAATCATCTTCCTTGCATTACATTGCTTAAAATATTACAATTCGATTATATACATATTCGAAACCTCTATCTCTGCTTTAACATTTCAAATTTAAGTAAATAATGCATGGCAATAAAAATTTGTCATTTTTTAGAACGAACTTTGTAGCAGTGGCGTAACTATAGGGTGGCGTGTGTGGCAAAACGCCACGGGCCCC